CCCACCGTCGACCATCTTTTAAAGATATTGATAATGGGAAAGGTAGCAGAAAACCACCTCATTACCTCAAATTTGTAAAGGGTTGGGAGGAGGAGATAATAAAATAATGGATCAGTGAGCTTGGAGTTAGTACCTGGTCAAATTTTGAAATGGATGAAAAATGAAAGGTTTATGTGTGATGCAGTAGAAGAAGTAATGAATTTGATTTTTGTTGTTGTTGTTGTTTTTGTTCTTGTTTTTTGGTGAGGCAATTGGGGTTGACTTGGCCCGGGTCACACAGCTAGTAAGTGTCAAGTGTCTGGCAGGAGTAATGACTTTAAAGTGATGAACTTGGAGTAACTAGATCTGAGTTCAAATCTTAGAACTGTCACTTCTTACTAACTATGTGTCCTTGGGCCACTTAATTTCCCTGGACCTCCATTCTTTCATCTGTAAAATGAGAGGTTTGAACTAAACTTCCAAGTTCCCTCTAATATCTAGATCTGTGATCCTGTGAACACTTAGAAAAGAAAATATTGATCACTAGGAACAAACATGGGTTCACCAAGAATGAGTAGAACCAAGCATATATCTTTTCCTATTTTGATAGAATTACTTAAGTAAAAGAAATACTATAGACCTGGTGCTCTCATACTCAATTGAGTGTTTGTTTTACATTTCTATTATTGATTCACATATACTAGATTATCCTCATCTTTGTTTCTCTTTGCAAACTCTGACTAATCCAGTTATATTATTGTCTGAATAAATGCATATATATAAAATAATTTGGCACTTGAAAGCATCTCTAAGAATTAAGATCTCTAGTGTAGACAAGGTATATTTGGGTTATATCATTGGCAGGTAGTAAGATCTCTTTAGGGAAAAAATATAGAGCTATGTGACGGAAGATAGTACATTTAAGTAGATTCAGAATTTATTAAATAACTATACCAATTCCATAAATGCTGATTGGTGTATTGGTGTCACCTTGAGGGAAGTTTATAGCGGTATGTGAAGAGCTCTGTCTAGTTCGACATTTTTATCATCAGCATTTTATCAAGGTCACATTTATATAACACCTTAGCATTTGCAAAGTGCATTAGAGACATAAAGACTAGAATATCGGATTTGTGCATGACGCAAAGAGTGTGTTCCCCCAAGATGGGAGTGTTCTAGTGTTGAAGATGATCTTGGGACCAGGCCCTGCCCTGAGGTGAGGGGCAGTATAGTGGCAGACCCTTCTCTCTTACTCAGATTTTTTTCTTTTTTTTTTTCAACTTTAACTTTTTTATTATTTTTAAAATGTTATTCCATATTTTATTAATGCCTTTTGTTTCTATGTCACATTCATTTCTGAATATATCCTCTCACATCCCTCCACACACACTCTACCCCCACCTTCTTCCCCGATTTTTTGGAATAAAGATTTTAAAAGAAAGAAAAAGAAAAGCAACCAATGCATCATTAAACCTTGTCTGACAATACACACAATATATGTCAAGTTCAGAGTTTCCACAAGAAGGAGAGAGCTTTCTCTAGGAAGATGCCACTTGTGGGGCTGGGCTGAGGTAGGGAATTGGCTGGGAGGTAGAAGGAGAAGCAGCATTGTTAAATGCCAAAATGGCCCTGAATTTGGAATCAGGGATTCTGGGTTCAAGTCTCAGGTCTACCATGTCCTGACCTTGTGTGTGTATGACCTTGAGCACATGTCACTCAGGGAAATAATTCCCTGAATTTATATCCTCATCTCTAAAATGAATGGATGGGACCAAATGGCTCCAAGGTCCATTCTTTCAGAACTACAACCCTAGAAAATAAAGATTTCTCAATAGGATATGGATTTTTTCCAATCCTTAAGGAAAAGTGAAGGCACCAAAACCTTCTTATAGATTCTAGTGTAATAGATGCAGACTGATGCTAGTCTTCAGAAATCAAATGAACAAGGTACTCTAGAGAGATCACACAAAGTCTGCCTTTTTTATTTCTTATGCTGTACATTGGAAGCTAGAAAAGCTTAGGATTTTGTTTTATACTAGAGGATAGGTGGGACCTGCTGTATTAATAAACAAATTATAATACTAATGGTTATTATTATTATTATTAATAATATGCATAGCTCTTTAGAATACAACAACCTTGTGAAGGATGTAACACAAGTGTTCCTACCCCATTTTACAAACAAAGAAACAGAGGATCTGGCACGATTTGCACCTAGATCAGGGATGGGGAACCTGGGACCTCAAGGCCACACGTGACCCTGTAGGTCCTCAAGTGTGGCCCTTTGACTGAATCCAAATTTCACAGAACAAATCCTCCATCCCTGGCAAGAACTTTGTAAACCCCCAGGTGCTTTATACATGTCCATTGTTCTTATATATAAATGTATTCAACTTCTGTGAAGTTTGGATTCAGTCAAAGAGCCACACTTGAGGACCTAGAGGGCCACATGTGGCATCGAAGCCACAGGTTCCCCACCCCTGACCTAGATCCTTTTAACTCCAAAATCAGCCACCACCATCCCACCATGTTATGCTAATGAAGAAACAGTATGTGTAAAGGTCTGTATTAGAATGAATTCGGTTATATGCTTACAAGTTTATTGGTAGTCCCCAAAGATAGTCATGCAAAGAGGTGATGGCAGCCTTAATTGTAATTTTGAACAAGTGGAATTAATTTAGGCATTTTTTAGCTCCATATATAACATAAGCCTTATAGCAAACTCAAACATTACAATAAGGGGAAAAAAATAAAAAGGACCCATCCCACAACCATGGTGAACCCCATAGTCAGTAAATTCTAATTCTATCTCTAATATACATTAGCTGTGTGACCAGGGGTCATTCAATCTCTCCAACAACTTTCGTCACCTATAAAATGGGACTGATAATGTCAGTAATAGAAGTCACACATGGCCCTCTAGGTCCTCAAGGATGGCCATTTGACTGAATCCAAACTTCACAGAACAAATTTCCCACCCCTGGCAAGAACTTTGTAAACCTCAAGGTGCTTTATACATGTCCATTGTTCTTATAAATGTATTCAACTTATTTTAATTTCTTTTACTTAGTTGAATCTGATCAACTCAAGTAAACATTAAATCAGCCTCAGAATTTAAAAGTCAGAAGAGATTACCTGCTCCAACACATAACCAAATAGAAATCCCCTTTACAAAATCCTCAGCCAGTGGTGGTCTGACTTCTGCTGGATGGCTTCCCTCCTGGGGCACCCCACCCCGCTTTTGTGCAGCTCCAATTATTAGGAAGTTTGTCTTTATGTCAAGCTGATATTATCTACCTTTCTTCATCTTTCAATCTTTGCTACTATTTGTGCCCATTTGGGTTCAGGGGAACATATCTCATCTCCCTTTTTGTACAGCGGCCTTTCAAATACCTGAGGACAACTTCAGGTCTCACCCTAAGTCTTCTCCAGGATAAACATGCCTATAGGGCAGGTAGGCAGCACCAGACCTGGAGTCAGGAAGACCCGCATTCAGATTTGGCCTCTGATACTTACTAGCTATGTGATGATTTAAGACAAGTCACTTAACCTCTATTTGCCTCAGTTTCCTCATCTGTAAAAATGAGAATCATAACCAGCATCTGCCTCCCAGGGTTGTTGTGAGAATCAAATGAGAGGATAACTGTAAAGTGCTTAGCACAGTGCCTAGCACATAGTAAGCATATATATCATTACTCTTATTAATTTCCCTTTTCTGAACCTTGGTCTCTCTCACCATCCTGTTTGCCCCATTTTTAAATGCTCTCTAGCTTGTCTATGTCTGCACAGAACAAGTAATAAGTTATAGTTTTTTAATAGCAGACCTTATCAAAGGATCTTAAACCTCTTAAAGACACCATTTCATCATTCCATGTAAGACCACTGTGAAGTTGGCCCGCGTTCTGGGGTGCTGCTAGAGAAACCAGGGCTGAGAGCTGTGTTACTCACCTCGGATTGCACAGGAAGTCAGTGAGACTGCTATAAACAGAAGCCAGAATCCCTGGCTCTCAGTCCTGGGCTGTGGCCATTAGTCACACGGAAACCGAGTAAGAAGCAAAACACCACCCCAGCTCTTCTGCACCTACCTACCCACTCACCTAAGGATTTGTATGTTTTGTTTGTTTGAATGTGTGATGTTACCTGGTTCTACTACTAGCTACCTGTCTGTGACCTTGGCTCATTTTCCCCTCTGTGGGCCTTCTCCTTGAGTCTTTTTAGGTAAGGGCTTCTTGTGTGGAATAATGGACAGAGAACTAGCCTGGGAGGGAGGAAGAGGGTGTTCAATGCCCTGCCCCTCCCATCCCTGTCTGACACGTACTAACCTCTCAGGGCCCCAAACAGCTCTTCATGACTACATGTCATCCAGGTCCCGTTCTATGTCGGTAGAGGAGATTTCCTCACTGGGAACTACCTATGCTTATGACATCACAGATCTGGTCAAAACCAAATAAATAAAAAAAACTTAGCTGTGCTCATGAATTCTACATTTATTCTGCCAAAACATCTTTTTTTTATTCATTCATTCATTCATTCTTGGCTTTTTTCAGTCATGAATAATTCACCAGCCTGGAGCAAACTTGTCAGTAAGGTTGACCAGCACAAGCATGACTTGTCCTAACCCTTCAGCCACACACCTACCAGGAAGATGAGTCTTCAGAAACCAACCTTTTCATTCATGCTTTTACAAAGGGTGAATCTCACACTAGCAGAAAACAACCTGTTCCACAGGGAAGCATTTAGCCATTATTTCAGGACATTGACTCCTGGCTCTTCATCAGTTTTATTTAGTGAGGTTTTCTTCCCATTTAAAGGTGTGAACATTCTTTACTTCTAAATTCTCAAATGAGTCTTCCATCAGCTTCACAGTGGAGGGCCCATCTCTGTTTTTTTTTTGTTTTGTTTTGTTTTGTTTTTTCAGACTTCTCTGGGCAGGAGCTACTTTACAAGCCAGTTAAAATGCAGGCAGCGGTTGTTTATTGCCTCCTGAGAGTGACCCTTGTGTCTTTTCTTTTTTAAAACAGCAAATATGCTGGAGTATTATCCTGACCAGTTGGATGACGTTGTGGATTTTATTCACAACACAATCAAAAGACTGAAAAGGTCACCAGACAAACAAGCAGAATTGTTTCCTCGGCGGGAGAGGAACAGACAAACTGGAGTCACCAATGCAGATAGAAAGAGGCAGAGGGGACAGAGGGGCAGGAACCGGGGCTGTGTCTTAACTGCCATCCATTTAAATGTGACTGACTTGGGTTTGGGATATGAAACCAAAGAAGAATTGATTTTTCGATATTGCAGTGGGTCTTGTGATGCAGCTGAGACCACATATGACAAAATATTAAAAAACTTAACCAAAAAGAAAAGGCTGATGAGTGACAAAGTCGGGCAGGCCTGTTGTCGGCCCACTGCTTTTGATGATGATCTGTCATTTTTAGACGATAACTTGGTTTACCACATACTGAAAAAACATTCCGCTAAAAGGTGTGGATGTATCTGACTCTGTTTCTGGGAGACGGCTATGTATTGCATTCCTGCTACAGCGCAAAGGACGGGACCAAGGTTCCCAGGAAATGTTTGCCCAGAATGGAGAATGAGGACCAAGGATGGAGATGAAGGAGGAGAGACAGACAGAAGTCAGCCATCATGGGAGCCTGGTGGAGGAAGATCCCGCCACAGATGACTGGATAAGACAGAGAACGGCCCTCTGGTTTCTACAGGAAAGCAACTTTAAGGCACATCACAAGCTCAGGGCCGGTGTTCCTGGATGGATGTTGCCACTGTCATTTCACTTGGTACAATCCACCATCACCTATCATCAGCTCGGAATGTGCTGAAAGAACACAACCACTTAGTCTCCTGTGGTTTGTTTTCACATATTTGGTTACACCAGGCAAACAACGCTGGTGTAAACTTACGTGGCAGTAAGAGTCATTACTGAAAGTCAGGAAATTATATATTTTTTTTCTGTCGCTCAGTTACGGCATACCTGCCCCTCCTCCCATCTTTCCCCTTCCCCCTCCCACCCCCACCAAAATATATATTATATATAAAACAGACACTAGAAACAGCCTTTTGACTTCAAAGTTGAGGCCTAAGGTATACTTGGACAGGAATCTAATGGTTGGTTATTGATTTTTAACATAGTGTGTTGGGTGGGAAGAAATTGGACAGAAACTAACAGGCTGTATTCACTGACTAAAGAAAACCTGAAAGTATTTTCTTTATATACTCTTGGAAACAGGAAAGGAGTTGTGGTTTTAAGCAGCATACATTTCTAGGAGAGTGAGGGGGAAAACAAGCCCAGATGCACCTCGGTGTACAAGGAGACAAACAGGTCTCTTTCAGTTTACAGCTGGACAAATGTCACATCATCACTACATTTTTGCTTGGTCACCAGTGGCCAGAGAGAGTACTTGATGCAATGCATCCATTTCAGATACAGAAATATATAGAAGAATATTTATTGAAATTTAAGTTATTGTTATTTATTACAGTTCACTAATGAGTTTCTTTTTTCCCCTTATTTATTAAAATTTCTTTTCTAAAGGTGCCAAAGTGTAATGTACTTGCAAAATACAAAGAAAGAAAAAGAATCAGATTAGGAACAAGGGTCCATGCTTTTAAAAATGTTAACAGTTTTTGGATAGTTAAAAAAAAATCACTTACTTTACCTTTTTCCACAAAACTTCCTGGTTAAATTCTGTAGATCTACCTGTTTGCCGTCCATTTGTCTAAAAACAAGCAGAGAAGCATTGTTTCTGAGGGACCCCCGTGCCCCCTTTCTCAGATGATTTCCACAGATCAGTGAGCAGAGACCAGTGGCACTTGGCTTTATTTCTCTGTTGATCCAACACTGAACAAACATGCCATAATTTTCATTCTATGTTGTACTTAAGCTTTTTTCCTTCCCCGTATATTTATCTATAATATGCATTAAATATATATGAAAGGCAAAATGCCTTTTAGTAGTTAGTCCTGGATTTTAATGTCAACTAAAAGGTAAACAGTTCATGTTCAGTAACAGCCAGAGTTTTGCTACGATTCACTAAGAATCATTCACACAACACCCCCCCCCCCAAAAAAATATACCTGATTTAAGAAGGAATTATTCTGAGCTGGGAGTCAGGTACTGACTATTGTGATCAAAACAGTTGCATTGGTCACCTTCCAGGAGGCAGATTGTCCCATTTTCCCCCAAAAGCTTTTTGACTGCAACCTCAGACCAGTAAGTAGTGAGTTCTTCCTTTTGTGTAAAATCCCGTTAGGGTAACACAATACGACTGAGGAGGTCAGAGGCTTCTGGCCTGACCACAAAATCATGTATATGGCTGGATTGAAACAATCTGGTGGATGGAGTGGAAGAAAGTATAGGGGTAGCCATCTTTGCCAGTGTCTCCTAAGGTGGGTTTTTCTGACAAGCTAATCAGGATGTGCATTCATAGAGAAAAACAATATTGGGCCCTATACTGTGGCTTTTTATCCTTTTTTTTTTTTTCATTTTTGTCAGAAGAGGGATTTTTTTTAATCAAGAAAAACCATGTCTAGCTATTAATAGCAATAGTTTGATAAAGGTTGGGAATTCCAGTTGCCTTCCAACCAATTAGCCATGGTCTTTTTCAAATCAACATATCAGCTACTAACACTAATCCCTGTGAGACCTGAATTCTCCTCCTTCCCACCCCTACTTTGCTCTTCCTGCACCTCCAGATTAGAAGTCAAGGACAGGATGGCCCCATCCCACCCAGCAGAATGGGAAAGCCAGGCCGTGTAGCTCCAGGCCGAGGAGACAAATCTGTTTGTTAATTTATTACAAGAATTCAGAAGTGTACCCCAAAATTATCAACCTTGCTCAGATAACAATATTGACTGTGTGCAGAGTAAACTGCTGATTTTTTTTTTTTAATTTCAGCCTAAATTAGCTTGCAGCATTAGAATCAAAGCCCTTGTCTACACTGGCTGCAACATTTCAGGGAGTGCTGTGGGCACATTCCTGTGTCCCCTACACACCATAAGCAGGTTTGAACTTTTGCAGATCTAAATAGAGCTAATCTACAAAAGGGTAAAGTTTGTGATTTTTCATCGTCATCATCATCATCATCATCATTATTATTCTAACTATTATTATTATTATTACCATCTAAAATAGGAGTGCACTTCTTTGGAAGCTCTGATTTCACCTCTGATCTATGTCTCAGTCATTTGTGTTATACAACCAAAGTTCTCTACAAACTTTATTTTTGTACAATATCATTTTGTAACTTTTTACAAATAAAAGCTCATTTCTATTGTTCTCTGTACTTTGTGCTTCCTCTCACTGCTGCTTATGTGCTCAGCCTTACTCCCCATATCAGATTTTACAGTGTACAATAAATGTTTAAATACCTCCATTGGTAGGTAACAGGACTCTCTATGCCTCTCTCCGACTCCTGCTACCATGCCCCCAAAGGAATGATTGTACAGTAATTCAGGGGGCAGCTAGGTGGCGGAGTAGATAGAGCAACTGGCCTTGGAGTCTGGAGGACCTGAGTTCAAATCCAGCCTCAGACAGTTATTAGCTGTGTGACCCTGGACAAAGCACTTAACCCCGATTGCCTTAAAAAATAAATATATAAATAAAATAATTCAATGATGGAAATGTAAAGTAGCTCGATGATGCAGGAGGGCAGCAGTAGGACAAGTCATATATTTATAAGGATACACCACTGACCTTCTCTTGAGAGAGTGTACTGCACCACTCATTCCATGCTACACAAAGGAAGAAGCATTAGATCTGGGGTGGACCAGTGATTCATTAGTCTAGAGAGTACCCCAAAGAGGAGGCCCTGCTCTCTGCAAATTACAGGCTCAGAGAATTGTTTAGAGTACTGACAGGTTAAGGGCATTGCCCGGGAGCAAAATGCTATTATGAGTCAGGGTCAAGACTTGAATCCAAGTCTTCCTGGAGAAAACTAGCTCTCTGTGCTCTACATCATATCCTGCCAATGATGCTTACAACCTATGTGACTATGTGCTACGGGTCTTTACCTCTCTGGTTCTCAGTTTTCTCATTTGGAAAATGAGGAAGTTACACTAAACAACCGCTAAGGTCACCTCTAGTTTCAAATCAATGTCACAGTGGATAGAAATGCCAGGTCTGGAGTCAAGTAGACTCATCTTCCTGAGTTCAAATCTGGCCTCAGACACTTAACTAGCTGTGTGACCCTGGGCAAGTCATTTAACCTTGTTTCCCTCAGTTTCCACATCTGTAAAATGAGCCAGAGAAGGAAATAGCAAACCACTCCAGTATCTCAGGAAAACCCCAAATGGAGTCACAGAGTCAGAAGGACTGAAAACGACCGAAAAACAACAGCAGATTAATTCACAGACAACCTGAATGATCCATTGTAAATTCCCAGGCAACTTCACTGATCCATTCTGAGATACATATTGTTAAAAAGCAACAAAAAAAATTTGAAGTTGTTATTACCCTCAGGAAACAGTTCTCCAACCTGTGTTTTCTGAGCAGTGATATTTTTTGCTTAAGCTGCCCTCGCCTTTCCTATAATGAGTGATCTTTTGCTTAGAGCCCTCACACCTGAATTCTTGAAGAATAAGGTTATGAAGTAGGATTGAACAAGTCAGGGCTTTTTTCCCAGGGTGCCCACATCAAGTGCAAAGAGTCTCAGCGATATAATTCTATATCCTACTCTTTGTTTGAGAAATGGGTGCTTATGCTTCCCAATAGCTGGACACTTTACATATAGCCCTATTAGGCCAATAGTCCTTTATCCAATGTTTTATTAGAGTTCAATAGTGTGCTGCTGGGATTCATTTCATGACATACTCTGCTGGAGACTGAGTCCAGCTGGTGTTTGGTTTGTAAAGTCTTCCCCCCTCCATCTGCCACCCCAAATAAATCTGCCCCCAGTATAAGAATTCTAAGTTAGGACTCTGTTACACAAGCTGAGGGGATGGTGAAAAAGAACATTAATGTGAACCTGTGAGCCCACAGGCAGATGGTTGGCTGGGAAGGAAACTTGAGGTCAGATTTTATCTAACCATCCTTACCACCTCTAAACTGAGATGCTAGAAAATGATGCATCTTAAAAAAGATAGGAAGGAAGAAAGGAAGGAAGGGAGGAAGGAAAAAAGGAAGAAAGAAAGGAAGGAAGGAAGAAAGAGAAAGAAAGAAAGAAAGAGACAGAAAGAAAGAAAGAAAGAAAGAAAGAAAAATCACAAAAGGGAATTTACAAAGCAGTATCCCATCCCCTCATTGTGTGTGCAGTCCATAGAGAGATACCCTATCTTCCACTGGCAGCTGGATAGTACAGTGGTTAGAGTGCCAGGCCCAGTCAGAAAGAAAGACCTGAGTTCAAATCTGGTCTCAGATACTTACTAGCTGTATGACTATGGGCAAGTCACTTAATCCTATTTGCCTCAGTTTCCTTATCTGTAAAAGGAGCTGGAGACAAGAAAACCCTGAAGAGTTGGACATAATTAAACAACAGCAACAAAAATCTTCCACTGAAAGTATAAGCTCTTCCTAAAGGCACACGGAATAATACAAGGTACAGCTCACAACCCACCATGCCTACCCAGGCTATGATAGACCTCTTCATCATGCTTCCTCATCCTCTGCTTCCATTTCCCTTTTTATTCCTCCCCTTCACTGTCATCCTTATCCCAGACCTCTTGAGTCATTTGTTCTTCTGACCTACCTTGAACAACTTGGGAGAAGGAAAGGTCTTACATCGAGTTCCTATTTAAAATATTAGAATGGTTGTCATGCCTGATAAAGAGCAAACCACTCGTGTTCACTAATGTTCCAAGTCACTTTCACTATTTTTAAGAAATGGGGGAGGGGGGTGGGGAAGAGAAGCATGAATCAGATGTCCTGGAGAGCCCTGGCATCTGTTTTTCTAATACTTACTAGAAGTCCGGGAAAGAGTGTAATTTAGGG